CCCTAAACCCTATAATATCCCTATACTAACCCCCAAGCCCCTAATTTAGAGAAACCACCATATGGCTCCCCGGTCTTAAGTGGTTTCTTTCTTTTCGGGGCTGGCAATAGCCCCTATACCAAGCCGACCTGGCAAGGTCCAGGGCTCCCTAAACCCTAAACCTTAAACTCCCTAAACTCCCTAAACTCCCTAAACCCTAAACTCCAAGAACCCTAAACCCTAAACCCTAAACTCCCTAAACCCTCAACTCTATTCGGCTGAGGCTCCTGAACCCAACATCCTGCAATCCTCGACCCAGAGGGCTCCAAAACCTTGCAAGCCCCGAGCTCTGAACACCCTACAGTCCCCCTTAAGTAGATGGAATATGCCCAAAGCCATATTCTATCTACTTAAGAGGGACTATAACCCAAAAACTCTCAGAACCACGGCCCTTAATCAGCACACCGTGAATTCTTTGACACATGAGCCTGCGAACGCTGAAGCTAAAAACTCGGATCCCCGCGATGGAAGACTGGACTCAACTTACTGGTGGTTAGTAGGGAATAAGGGAATATGATCTCTATATATTTCCTATATAACATATGGTTTCCTTTCCTACTAACCCACAGTAAGTCATAGGCTTGGCGGCTTGGAACCTATTTGAAACCCACTCACTGACTGCTAAACCTTGAGCAGCGGTGGAGGGATTAGGGTGTAGGGTAGGGTTTCAGACGAAACCACAAAACCTGACATACGTTATTGTGGTTTAAGGTTTAGGGTAGATGCAGCCAGTCTTGTACCGATCAGGGTCCCAAAAAACCATCAACCCAACATCTTCCACACGTTCTTCGGACCAAAGCAGACTTATCCCATCAATCAAGCATCAAGCCATCCTACAGACAACCGCCGCGACGGAAACAACCCCTCGCAAGCCCCTCTACCCTTAACCTTAAACCCCTAGACCCTTACGGGAGAAATCATAGTCCTTCATAAGATACCATAACGGAATAAGAGCAGGTCTGGCGGAGGCAGTGCGGGCCTTGTCTGTCGTCAAGGCACTGGGCGGCTGCGCCTTGGCTTCAGGAAACCAAAATGTAGGGGTTAAAATGATTTGAATCGTGATTTCGGCAAGTTGCACTGTGGTCCTCCAAGGACCGTATGAGAAGAACAGGTGCCGGTAACTACTTCCAGCCCCGCACTGAAAAACCCTGCACCTTACCCGGAGGGCCGGTGGGCATCAGTAAGTAGGTTACTCATGGGGACCACTGGGGTTGTTGGATGGCTTCTAAGTATACTTTCCCAGACTCATCAACATTGCTCCAGGCAAGCTCAATTCAGAGGAACAGCTACCCGTGACAGCCCAAGACTTGCTGGGTCCTTGTGGGGAAAGGGCCTGGTAAGGACATTTATCTGATCCCGCTATATACTGCCATTGTAGCACCTCTATTCGCGAGCCCACTCCCCCTTAGTAAGCACCCTGAACCCTAAAACCTCTAGACGTTTGCGTTGTCGTTTCCAGCCACACTCATCATACTCGGACCAGTAAGAAGATGTCGAGGCTCACCTTAGCCAAGCGTGGAGCCCTAAACTAACGCGAAACCTTGCACTCCAAATCTTTAACCCTGAAACCTAAACACCAAACCCTAAACCCTGAAACCTAAACCCCAAATCCCAAACCCTAAACCCCAAACCCTAAACCCCCCAAACCCTAAACCCCAAATCCCTAACCTGAAACATGAGGCTCAAGCAGAGCTCTTGTGCAGCTACCTTTCCATGGCTCGCCTGGAGCTAGGCTTTACTCTGCCGCCCCTGGGGTTGCATCCAGGGTGCTGAAGCCCTGAAAAAGGCTTTTGGGGCTTTAGGTTTAGGGATTTAGTGTTTAGAGTTTTAGGGATTTAGGGTTTAAGGGTTTAGGGTTTAGGATTTAGGGGTTTAGGGTTCAGGTTGGGTACTGCCCCCACTCCGTAACAGTCTATATTAGGGGTCCTATTAAGGGCTATATATAACCCTATTATAGTCATTATCCAACTGTTACTGAGGGGGTGGGGGGGGGGCAGTACCCAAACTATCCTCATTACAGGAAATTCGAAAACGAACCTTTGATTTTGGGCAAAACGTCACCTTGTGGTGGCTGGGTTGGAAAGGCCGGTATCATTATGTTCAGGGTGTAGGGTGTGTCCGTCAAGGTTGTTTGGATCAAGATTTTTGCCTGACACATCATGGGCTCAAGAGTGTGCTCTGTGATTTGTGGACTTCATTGAACGCAATGGAGGAGAGTTGGGGAGCGCATCCCTGTAACAATACCTAACCCGCACCCTAAACCCTAAACCCTAAGCCCCAGATTGTATGTAGATAACCTCCCCACTCCTGGTTGAGCGCCTCTAGAATTAATGCCTGGTGCCTTATAAAGAGGTAATACAGGGGTTATATAGGGATTATATAGGGATTATATAGGGGTTAGGTAGGGATTATATAAGGGTGAGTGCTAGGATTTGCTTTCAAGCGGAAGGTAGGTGCACCCTGCAGAAGTCATGGTCTTTCCCAGCAGCTCAAGCCCGGTTCTCCACTTCATATGAGCCAACGTCTTAACTCCTTAAAGGGGGTTCTATAGGGGATTCTATAGGGGGGAGTTATCGGAGTTATTAATGGGGATACTAGGAGTTTAGACTATGGCTCATATTTTATTGGACTTCTAGTCGATTCGATTTTTCTGTAGATTCTCCATTGCAGCCGCTAGGGCTTCCGAAGCAAAATGCCACATCCTGCGTCCAGGACGTTTAATAAGCAGTGCGACCTTCAGATTTCAATCCGATGACATTGACGTTCCATACGACCCTCTGCAGTAAGCAGCTCAGAAGCCCTCTGAGCGCACAATGAATTCCTGCAAGCATCATCTCGAGCTCTCAAGCGACTGCTAACGAGGAGTGGGGGAGGGAATCTAGGTAGCAATACAGGCGGATCATCTAGAATCTAGGGATTATTATGGCGATCCACCCACCCCCCTAAACCCTAAACCCTAAACCCTCAAATTTTGAGGCACAAGTAAGCGAAGCCCAGGATCTCCCCTCCCGCAGCCCTTGGTGGGGCCGCGCAGTTCGTAGTTTTGGCGCGGGAGCTTTGCCCGGAGGCCGTTGGGTTTGTGTTTGGGCATCTGAGTTTGGGGGTTGGGATTCAGGTTAGGGGTTAAGGGTTAGGAGTTCAGGATTTAGGATTCAGGACCTATACGGTTAAGGGCATGTGTTTGGGTTTCAAAGTTTCAGGGTAGAGGATTGGCAGTTGGAGTAAGGCTTCAGTGTTGAGGATAAGGGTGGCAAGGGTTCATGGTTTGGAGTTCAGGCTTAAACCCTAGCTCCTAAACCGCTGTAAGCCCACAACTTCCAAATCCTAAGCCCTCAACCCTAAACCTAAACACCACTACTGAAAGCTGTTTGCGTGGTAGGGGGATTCTGTATGTACATGTGCGAATGCTCATGTGGGGAAAGGGGCTTGATTTTGTCATTTTGGACCCTACACCCCAAACCCCAAACACTAAACCCTAAACCCCAAACACTAAACCCTAACCCTAAACCCTAAACCCTAACCCCTAAAGCAACAAGTCCTCGAGCCCAAGCCCTAAGCCCTGACAAATCTTTAGAGCTCTAGACCCTAAGTCCTCAAAGCCTGAAGCCTTAAAATGCCACGCTAAACCTGCGACGCAAAAAACCCAAGACCTCAACCCTTCTATATCCCTCCAAGCTAGCTTTCATTGAAGTCGCCATTGGATTTTCAGTTTGGTTCTCCATCAGTAGGCACTAACCCGATACCAATATGTAATTCCAGTCTTCATTTCATTGTCCATTTAGTTTTCCAGTGGGCGCTCCATTTCCTAAATCCTAAAACACTAAACCCTAAACCCTGCACTCTAAACTCTGAACAGGCCTCTTGGCTCACCCAAGACATCCAGGCTGGGACAGAAAACTGCCACGCGGTTTTGGGTTCAGGGTTCAGGGCTTCGGGCTGAGGGTTCAGGAATAAGGGTTCCGAAGCCCTAAACCCTAAATCCCTTAACCCTAATCCCTGGATCCCTAGATCCCTAAACCCTAACGCGGAGGAAAAAGAGTCCGACAAAAATTCAACCTTAGGTTTGGACTTCAGGGTTTAGACTTTAGGGTTCACAGTTTGGAGTCTATCGGGTTCAGGTTCAGGGTGCCACTGGACAGATATCCTGAAATGCAGGCTTTGCCTAAGCCCCAAACCTGAAACCCCAGACCGGTACCCTAATCCCTGGATCCTAAGCCCTAAGCCCTAGATCCTAAACCCTAAGCCCTAAATCCTAAACCCTGAGCAATCAATCCTGAACCCTAGGCCTTAAATTCTACACCCTAAGTCCTAGCGTTATATCCTAAACCCTGCATCCCTATACCCCACGCGTTGGTTCAGGCAGAAGCACCAAAGTGGCTGCCGAAGTTGCAGCAGGACTCACCCGGGCCTATGCAACAATTCGGGAGGTTGCCTCTCTGTTACAAGGATTTAGGGTTTAGGGTTGGGTGGGGGGGATGTTTACAATTACGTAAGGAAATGGGATAAGTGAGATTTGGCCTATGTAATTGTAATGTTTATTCATCTCGAGGGTGCAGGGTTTAGAGAGGGGCTAAGGGTTGAGGACGGTTTGCATGGAATGTCCCTAACCCTAAACCCTAGATCCTAAACCAGCATACCGTCTGGAGCTCATCATCGCTGAGCTTTGCAGCAAGCTCGCAGCCCCAAACTGGATCCCAAATCCTGGAAACTCACGAGCTTCGGGGTTTAGGGTTTTAGAGTTTAGGGTTTTAGGGTTCTAGGTCGGAGTGTGCACCCTCAACAAGCTCTCTTTCATTCGAAAGATGCCCTTGAAACGTAGCTGCGCGAAAGCAGTTCAAATCATCTACGGCTCTTATAGCCCTAAAGCCCGAAACTCTAGGCCCTTTAGTGTCCGCAAGGGAAGATCCGAAAATCAGGTGCGCTTGTTTGAGCTTTACCAGCATCTTGAGTGTGCCTGATCCGTTTCGCGTTTGGCCCTTAGCTCCAAGCCCAAGCCTCCAACCCGCCAAACCTTAAATATAGAAGCCTGAATGACAAATAGTACCTGAACCTTTGGGACTATTTTTAAGGATTTTGGGCTATTATTTTACCNNCCTACTTTTGGGGTTCAGGTAGTACCAACTTATGTCCTGCCTTCAGTATTTCTAGTATGGCACGCCTTCAACAAATCTTCTCAGCATTTAGACGCTCCCACGTTGAACGTATAAGCTCGCAGGAGATGACGTACGAGCTTCTGGAGGCCAAGCAGCTGTCAGATGCCTTGGCAAAGCTCGCTGTCGATACTCGACGCATGCCTTGCTGGCTTTTTTTTTTTGTGTGTGTGTG